TTTACTCACATTACACTTTGGGCAAAGCATGTTATATAATCCTGCCTCATTTCGAGAGCATGGAGAATTGCAATCAGTCACCCAGCGCTCCTGGAAAGAGAAAATAAACAACACTTTCTACCTCTTGACTTACTGCTCTTTTTTTCATTTTTAAAGTTATCTGGGTCAAGAACTGTGAAGGGTCTGAGACACTAACCAATTACAAGCTAACAAATTTGCCTGCCAGAATTTCATAGATGACAGCGGAAGACATGAGACTCCTGGGTCAGAGATGAAGTACAATTCATTGTTCACAGAAATAGCAGCAGCCAGAATATCAGCATTTTGCCCTAATTCCCCCAGGGTGATATAAAGTCCGGATGACACAAGCACACACATTGCAGGGTAGAAATACTAGGCGTAGAAACTCTGAATCTTTTATAGCGAACAGTAAACACTATCCCTATCTTCCAAGACTGCTTGCTATACAAACATCCTTCAAAATAAGTCTAAAGAAAAGAACTACTATCTCTGCTCAAAAGAGATGCAGAAGTGCAAGAAACCTATGGAGAATGGTTTTTCAAGTGACTTTTTAAAAACTTACTTTTGTATCTAACAGAGATTAATTATTCATTTATATTGTGAATAATAATTTATCAATATAAAGTAACTCCCTTTGCTCTGTTATTTTTCTTCTCAGTTTCATCCTTGAAATTAATATTACCAACATTTTTTGTTGTGTGCTTATATGTGACTATTACAATTTTACTAAATATCATTACTTTTAACCTTTATATGTCATTTCATTCGGGGTACATATCTGGTACAGAGCATTTAGTTTACTCTTTTGATACAATATAATAACTATCCTTTACTAGAGAACTTTAACATATCTGAATTTATGCACTGTGATATTTTTAACCTGTTTTTTCTCTAATATGTACTTCTTCCTGCTAACCTTGGAAAACAAAACCAAAACCCTTTATTTCACAATAGTTCTCAAGTTTGTTGTTGTTCCCTTTTTCTCTCTAGAAATGTGTTTATAATTTCATCCTCATTCTGCTAGCAGTTGCCTTTAAATTTTTAAACTAAATATTCGAATATCTACTTTCCTACCTATCTGTTGACCCTTCTCCCATTAAAAAGACTTGGAACACTTTCCATGAGAGACTATGGACTCTGAGAAACAAACTGAGGGTTCTAGAGGGGAGGGGGGAGGGGGATGGGTTAGCCTGGTGATGGGTATTAAAGAGGGCACATACTGAATGCGGCACTGGGTGTTATACGCAAACAATGAATCATGGAACACTACATCAAAAACTAATGATGTAATGTATGGTGACTAACATAACATAAAAAAAAAAAAAAAAACTTGGAACACTTTCATCCCTCTGAACCCAGACATTTTATTGGAATAGTCAGGCTATTATTTTTGTAGATTTTTTTTTTGCCGTATAGATGCTCGAGGAATTATTTTTGTTCATTACATTGTTTCATACAAATGATCATTTAGAAAGGATCTTGAGATTGTAGCACTCACTGCCATTTCTCATTTATGATATCATGCCCATACCTTACTTCTACAGTCTTAAGGTCAGGCTGGAGTACAGAATGGGTACGCAGAGATTCATGATATGCTTTCCGCTTAACAATGTCTTTCTATTGTCTTCATAAATATTTGCCCCAAAGTAAAATTCTTAAGTCATTTTTTTTTACCCTCAAAATTCAAAATCCTTCAATAGAAATGTTCCTCCCTTCTGGCATTTAGTGTTGGAGAAGAGAAATCTATGATGTTGTTATTGATTTTATTTTCTTGTGGCTAACTTTTCCTCTCCAACTTTGAATGCTTACAGAATTTGTCCAATATTCTTGAAATTCAGAAATACCATGAGATTGTGTCTATGTGTGTGTCTATATTAATTTTCCCAGTACTTGGTAAATTCTTTACACAACTAAAGTTATATGTCTTTTTATCTTAGGAAAATTGGCTTAAAGTCTCTCTTTGCTAATTGTTTCTTCTTTTTTATTCCATTCTAGGCTCATATTATCTCTAGTGTAGTTAGGGCAAGATTATTAAACTTATTATTTTTGCTCATCTACTTCATTAATTTGTCCTTTTCCTCTAAATTCTAGGGAACTATCTTGAGCTAATCCATCAAATCTTTATTTTAGATTCATCTTTAAAGTACCAAATCTGCTGTTCATTGCCATCTATGTGTTGTTTTTTGGTAATTTAGCAATTGTTTATCTTGTGTAATAGCAATTTTCCCCAGTATCATTTTTTGCCCAAAGGATGAAAAATGCTATCAAATATCCTTAACATGAATCAAGAGATTTGATAAATGAGTATTTGTTCTCATTCCTCAGAAGGGTCCCTTTTTGATTTTTGAATCTCTATCTCTTGTCTATCTAGTGACTATTCTTCATCAGCTTGTTTTTATAATTTGCAGATATGAAATTCTGTCCTATTATATTATTTAGGCATCTGTCTATATAACACAGTCCTCATTAAGGAGAAAGAAGGAAACACTTTCTATAGTTTCATTTGTTAGTGGACCAAGGGAAGTATCATCATCAGGTCCTAAACTAGAGGAATGCAGATACTATGAAGGCAGGAGAACCAACTGCTAAACGAGCTGTTGCTTCCGGTATGCTAGAGTTAGGTTTTTAGTGGGTAGCAACCTGACTTTTCCCCCACTGATGGCTCTCTAACCAGATACCTCTTCTAGCACCTTCTGCTTTGGATTTTCAGATAGCTGTCTAAATTGAGAACTGTACTTCCAGAAGGATTAAAAAGCGTTTACCAGATTATTGGAGAAAGTCTGTTCTTGAGCTGTTTTTCCCCCTTAGTGGTTATTCTCCCAGTCCTATAGGTACTGCCCCTTTCCCTACATGAATTCAATTGCTCTAGCTGGTCCACCCCTCTCTGTTGTATTCCACAAATCTTCCATACCAGGAGCAAATGCTATCTAGTCAGTTGCTTCATCCCTAGGGTAAATAATGGAATTCCCAAAGACCCTTATTTGCCCCTATCTGAATATTTCTCCCTTGATGCTTGCCTCCCCAGCCCTTTCTTCTCTAAGGTAGGATGTTCTCGTACACTGTCTTGTGAAAATCTGGTCATTTACATTCCAGTGTAAACCCACTGTTGTCTGCTTTGAATTGCTACCTGTTTATTAGTGATCAAAATGGTCTCCAATCTAATCCCATCTGTAATTTGCCATTTAGAAAGTTCCCAGAATGTCTGAATTGTCCATGGAAACCTGAAAATAACATCATTATAGCACTTCCCTCCTTGATGTTTATTTCCTTAAAAACAATCACCATGTGCCATGATTTTGCTAAATAAAAAAATAATTGTAGGGCACCTGGGTGGCTCAGTTGGTTAAGCGACTGGCTTTGGCTCAGGTCATGATCCTGGAGTCCCGGGATCGAGTCCCGCATCGGGCTCCCTGCTCAGCAGGGAGTCTGCTTCTCCCTCTGACCTTCCTCCTTCTCATGCTCTCTGTCTCTCATTCTCTCTCTCTCAAATAAATAAATAAAATCTTTAAAAAATAAAATAAAAAAAATATTTGTAGATGTCCTAGAAAATATGTTGCTGAAATACTGGCAAATATTTATGTAGAACAAATATTAATATTTAGATTGAATTCCTTGAGCACTAAACTGAAGAGAACAGCTCATTAACTACTGATGGGAATTAGGAGAAAAATTCTCCCCTCACCCCTCTCTCTCTCAAATTATGGTGTGTGTGTGTGTGTGTGTGTGTGTGTGTGTGAAATACTGCTACTTGAGTTATAGAGCTTCACTTTAAATTCTTTCTCTCTAGCAAGATATCTTCGATTTAGCCATCCAGATCCTCTATCCCTATTATCTACTCCACTCTTTGCCCTGAAACTGCATGAATTATGCCAACAGAATTCTATTTCTCCTGCTTTCCTTCTGTGTTCTACCGATGGGAAATGCAAGCAGGAGACTAGAGGAAGGGAGAAGCGTGAAATTAGAGTATTTATTTCTCTAGTTCATGAGACCACCTGGGTTGACTATCCCATGACAGTTGGTTTCTGATTCTCTCAGTGATCATCTTTATACCAAGCATTCTCAGACATCTCCCTCCGCAGGTTCATTTAAGACTAGGGGTCGAGACAGCTTATCTCATATTGGCCCTGAGTTCCTGCACTATTCCTTTAGTTTCCCTAAATACTGCCCACATGTTATAATAAGTCCTTTGTAAATATACCCTCCTTGAATTTTCCTATTTTGAGTGTGCTATTAATTTCCTATTAAGACTGACACACATACCCTGTTCATCACTGTAGGTCTCTGACATGCATGTAGTCAAGGTTATTCCTTTGGCTTATTGGGGATGGGGCTGTTACAGTTTACTTAACCAAGTTTGTCCTTCCTCCAGAATGTCATCATTGCCCCATTGGGAGTTTTCTTCCCATAGGATAAAATATAGTTCTACTGTTTACCCTGTTTTCCAGCATGGAATGCGTTTGTTTGTTTGTTTAGAAATAATTCCAGTTGTTTTACTGGGATTTTAGGAAGGATGGAAGGTAAAAGTAGAAAACAAAAAGTGAAGATTCATTGGGGCGCCTGGGTGGCTCAGTCGTTAAGCGTCTGCCTTCAGCTCAGGTCATGATCCCCGGGTCCTGGGATCGAGCCCCGCATCGGGCTCCCTGCTCGGCGGGAGCCTGCTTCTCCCTCTCCCACTCCCCCTGCTTGTGTTCCCTCTCTCGCTGTGTCTCTCTCTGTCAAATAAATAAATAAAATCTTTGAAAAAAAAAAGTGAAGATTTAAATCGCTGTATTAAAACATAGCATTTTTTATCCTACCTGTAAAGATTTTTAAGAAAGAGAATTTTATGTTTCCTATCATCCATATACTGACTATTCTACAACTACATTTAACCTAAAATAAATTATTTGAGTTGAAAGTTAAAACTAGCTTTTGTTTGTGGTTTTATAGCGTACTTGAAATTTCTTAAAAATTTTAATGTGAAAATATGAAAAATAAAATGTTCTCTTTGCCTTAAAATATTAATTTCAGGAACAAAACTGTATTTCAGTTTTCACGAAATGTCTAACAATAAAACATTTATATAGGGATGTTTTGTCTTCATACAACTTATGATACTATGAGAAACAAAAAACAATTAAAATCAATAAAAAGATAAAATTCTATTTCCATACTGTGTAGCCGCTGTATTCCTCTATTAGCAGTGGACAAAAATGCTGATCATCAAGTAGTCCTGGATCTTCTAGGGACTAGACCTCTGGGACACTATAATCTTAGGAGCTGTTTCTGAGTGATATTTCTTTCTGATCTCATCTATTTCACCATCATCAAGTACAAATGAAGCCAGCACTGGAATTTGAGAAAAATAGTTCTTAGCCAGGATATGTTTGTGTTTGATCTTGTGAATAAACAAGGGTTCATATCCCTGAAAAGAAAAGAAAATCAAATTCTATTAAATGTCACAGATATATTTTGCCAAGCAAAAAAATAAAAACACTTTCATATCTCGGTGCCTTTACTTATCTGTTCTCTCAGCCCAGAGAACGCTGCTTCCTACTTTGTCTGTCATCTTTCAGGGCTCGGCTATGATGCTCTAACCTTGAGGCCTTTCCTGACTCTCCCCCTCTGACCTCTGAGTCCAAACTAATCCCTCCTTCCTCTCACTTGCAAGTACTATTATGTATTTTAATTGTAATATTTAGTTCATTCTGCCTTCAATTTTACTACCTGCTTGAGAGTCTCTCCATTATAAGAAATACTCCTTGAAGGTTCAAACTGGGTTTTTTTAATATAAGTGTCTCTCAACACCACCCAAGTTCAATTATTTTTGAATGAATGATTTTGTCACCTTGCTTCACTCTTTAAATCTACTTCAACACTGATACAATTACCAGCTTTTGACTGAGTTATTTTTTCTAAAATTGGTACTTATATCCCGATCTCCAGGGTCCAAAACAAAGATCTCAATGGTATTTTGACAGTATAAACTTCTCTTTGCTCCCCTTTTACTGCCTTAGATTCCCACCTCATGAGTCCATTTTCTGTTTTCTAAATAGAAAATAACCTTTCTGTCTTTATCAAGCCTCTGTACCTTTCCACTTTAATTCTTAATTAATGTTTAGGCTTCTTGTCTCTCCACAGCTAGCACAGAACTTTGAACTTTTTCTGTTATGTAGCAATCCACCGTATAAGACCATCTGTCTTCTAATGAGAGTGGCAGACTGCTTGCTGCCAACCCAATATCCACTCTCTATTCCACTGGTATTTAGAGGCCTGATTTTGTATTTTGTGATGTGCTCAGCTTTCCTAGCCTTTATTCTAGTGAGGGGTGGGCATGTGACAAGTTTCAGGCCATTATACATATGTGTATATATAGAACAGAAGCCATTGGACAAAGCTTACAAGAAAGCTTTTTAAGAGAATGCAGGAGATGATGTAGCTATTTTATCCCTAAGAGTCCACAAGCATGAGAATGAAAGTCAAATGTTAAGTACAGCTGAAGAAAAAGTTAGAGGGCGTGGGTTTCTGAGAGCATTGTGGAGCCACCATCCGGACCCCAGACTGCCAACCTCTGGACTTCTTGCTTGATGGACACTAACTTCACATTTGATTAAGTCATTATCAATTGCTTAGTATGTTATTTGCAACCAAACTTGAATACAACTGAAACAATGAAGAATTGTGTCCATTACACATCCTGGTTTTTCTCCAAGCTCATAGCACAGTATGAGGAAAGCACATTCAAAAGAAAATTCTGGTTGAATTAATAAATACCATCTATTTCCTTTATTAATCTTATCAACCCTTCTTTTCAACCAAATCACAAATACAACTTGTACCTCCTCTTAAAATTTGTCTTCTAAAAGTAAGACATCCCTCACTAAAGATCCTTCCATTGTGTCAAAACAAAGGTAAAGAAAGCCTGGAGAAAAGGAGCCAAAGCACACAATATTCTGGCAGAGAGTATTATGTAGGAGAATACTGGGCTTGTTTTTAAGTTTCCTCTCTACAGACACATATAACAGGGCAAAATACTCATCCTTTGCACTAAGTGTGTTCTACCACTTCTTAGTCCTTACGTCATTAAGAAAACTAACACATTTCTATTACGCAACATTAAATTACATGTGTACAGAACTTTATAGGTTTTCAAAGCACCTTTATAGAACAAAAATGTAATCATTAAAGGTAAGATAAGCATAGTATGGTACATACAAGCACAGGAACAATAAGCAACTTTTAAAGAATAATATGGAAAGATATCCAATATATATTATCCCCTTTTCATATTATCTCCTTTTTACAGATGAGAAAACTAGGGCACTGAGACATCAGCAAATTTGCTCAACCTCTCTCAGCTCCTGAGTGACAGAGCCAGAATTCAACGAGGGCTGCTCTGATCCTCTGTATTGATTTCATGTTTTTAGCTGACCTTTATAAAAATTTATGATGCAAAGAAGGCAGGTCTTAATGTCCTATAGATTGATTATTAGTGACAGAAATGGGGAAATACTGGGTCAGGTCTCCTGACTTTAAATCCACTGTTGTTCCTACTTTGACCAATGTGCACACCACAAGAAACTGCTCTGCCTCATTTACGTTCAGAGAACAGAAGTCTTTTTCCAGGCTTTTCCTATAACTTGTGTCATGACTGCAGGGAGCCAAGATTATTTTAAATTTTGAGCAATTTTTTACTTACTGGGAAAGCAAATATCTCTGTGCATTAAGGAAATTCTAGAAAGGCTTTAACTTGTGGCAAGATATAAACTGTTCTTTAACGAGGCTGAAAATTAATACTTAACAAGATTAATGTAGGCCAAAACCATAAAAAGGCATTTTTTTTTTTTTTAGTTTGCCTGGTTGAGAACCTTAGCTCTATTTATAGAAATTCAGTAAGATCAGTATCCTGAAATTAGAAATGCATGTGAATAGAACATTTAATTTGGTACTGCAGTAATTTGATTGAATACACAAAGGGAGTGTGTGGATTAATTGAAGCAGTAGAATATCAGCTTTGGGAATGAACTTCAATCCCACTATGGGTCCTAGATGAAATAATATTGTAGTGTTGGCTATGCCTCCAGTGATTAAATATTTATGAAGCAGTTGAGTTTACTAAATATAATATTTAACACAGTTTCAGTTTCATGCTGCTCTTTCTTTCGATCCCTAGAGTGAAATTTTTCTTAGCCTGGCTTCTACTAGAAAATTATTCAAAAAAGCTAAAAATTTAACTAGTTTCTCCTCCTTATACCTTCTCCCTCCCCAATAAAAACACAAGCAGGGAATAGCACCATTCAAAATGACTATTAAATTTGAAGTCATTTCTTTCTCTTAACTGACATTTTGAATGAAATTAATAGTATAGAAATTTAATCAATAGAAGGCAGAGAATCAGTATCAGCTGTTGGAATCCTAAGCTTGCTCAGTGTCAGTGAAGCTCTCTGATGAACTCAATTCTGCTCATCAAAATGTTTTACAGATTGCATCTTGTAAGTTACTAAAATTAAATGGTATTGAATTTTTACAGCGCATTCCCCACTCCTAGTCAGTTGGGAGAAAATGAAAAATGGAGCCTCAAAACCATATCCCATCCGTATGATTTCCATTTAGAGCACAAGATTATGAGAAAAATTTGAGAATTTAGTGTGCTTTTTAGGCAGACTCATGATGGTTAATCAAAGAAGGGCAGATTCTAGGTTATATAATATCTATCTGGTATTTCATTTATTCATTCAACAAATACTCACTAAACCCCTAGTCTGTGACAGGCACTGGTGTAGTTTATTAAGAGATATAGACATGAATAAGCTAAATAAAATCCCCGCCCTCACGGAATTTACCATGGAATGACATGCTCGAACTTGCTATTATTAGCAGAAAGGGGAATCAAGTTTAGATACTTGTAAGATGTTTGGATCTCTTATCTTGTCTTTTTCTATGCCTTAGCTTCCTTTTAATTTTAATCTCAGCCATACATACCATCCACACATTTTGTTACTGTTATTCATTCTCTGTTTCTTAATCCAATGGAAGTATGTAAATTATTCATGGAATGTAGTAAAAGGCAGTCAAGTTATCCTCTAATATTTTCAATGATTAAATTAATTCCTCAAATTCTACTTTCTTACCTCTTCAATATTTGTTAGCTTGAGATGAGCAACACCTTCATCTTTGGTAAGAAGAATGCAGTTCCAGGGGGACCATTCCAAGGACTTATCCCACCTGACCATGACCAGATCGTTGAGATCCTTCCAGGCACTGAGCACTGACTGCGATGCCCAGATGTTCTCTACCAGGTACTGAATATCTTGTAGCTGCATGTCGAAACAAGTTTGAAAAATCATGTTTTCTTCTAAACATAACACTTCTTTAAGATTATTCTATTACTTGAGGAAATAATCACATTGAGTATATGTTTAAAAGAGAAACATTATTCATGAAGTTTTTAGTGCTTCTTACAGCTTATTTTTTGCCAAATCTCTGCTCACTCTGCCCAAGCTACATTATCAGTTTCACAGTCAAGATTGCATCTTTAACCCAGAGAAAGCTGCATGTATTTCTTCCAGTATGCTAATTTTACCTTACATGTAAATGGTATTCAGTGTTTTTCAAAATGTATTTGCCACTATCCTTATCCTTATCCTAACCCTTATCCTCAGGGTTATTGTAGGTCATTTTTTTTCCACTTTACAAATGAAGAAACTGAGATTTGATAAAGATTAAGCAATTTGCTTAGTGTTATTAAAAAGACTGTTGTTTTAATGAAAAAAGAAGGAAAATGGGGGAAATGAAGTAACGGTTTAAAAACTTTTTTTAAATCGGAGGGGGAGACGAACCATGAGAGACTATGGACTCTGAGAAACAAACAGAGGGTTCTAGAGGGGAGGGGGATGGGGGGACGGGTTAGCCTGGTGATGGGTATTAAAGAGGGCATGTATTGAATGGAGCACTGGGTGTTTTTTTTTTTTTTTTTTTTTTTTTTTTATTATGTTATTTTAGTCACCATACATCATTAGTTTTTGATGTGGTGATCCATGATCCATTGTTTTCTTTTTTTTTTTTAAAGATTTTATTTATTTATTCATGAGAGATAGAGAGAGAGAGAGAGGCAGAGGCAGAGGGAGAAGCAGGCTCCCCGCGGAGCAGGGAGCCCAATGCGGGACTCGATCCCAGGACCCTGGGATCATGACCTGAGCTGAAGGCAGACGCTTAACCGACTGAGCCACCCAGGCGTCCCGTGATCCATTGTTTTCATATAACACCCAGTGCTCCATGCAGTACGTGCCCTCCTTAATACCCATCACCGGGCTAACAAATCCTCCCTCCCCCTTCCCCTCTAAAACACTGTTTGTTTCTCAGAGTCCATAGTCTCTCATGGTTCATCTCTCCCTCCAATTCCCCCCCCCCCTCATTTTTCCCTTCCTTCTCCTAGTGTCCTCCAAGCTATTCCTTATGTTCCACAAATAAGTGAAACCATATGATAATTGACTTTCTCTGCTTGACTTATTTCACTTAGCATAATCTCCTCCAGTCGCATCCATGTTAATGTAAAAGTTGGGTATTCATCCTTTCTGATGGCTGAGTAATATTCCATTGTATATATGGACCACATCTTCTTTATCCATTCATCTGTTGAAAGGCATCTCGGCTCTTTCCACAGTTTGGCTATTGCGGACATTGCTGCTATGAACACTGGGGTGCATATGGCCCTTCTTTTCACTACATCTGTGTCTTTGGGGTAAATACCCAGGAGTGCAATTGCTGGGTCATAGGGTAGCTCTATTTTTAAATTTTTGAGGAACCTCCACACTGTTTTCCAAAGTGGCTGTACCAACTTGCATTCCCACCAACAGTGTAAGAGGGTTCCCCTTTCTCCACAACCTCTCCAACATTTGTTGTTTCTTTCCCTGCCCATTTTTACATTCTAACTGGTGTAAGGTGGTATCTCAGTGTGGTTTTGATTTGAAATTCCCTGATGGCTAATGATAATGAACATTTTTTCATGTGTCTGTTAGCCATTTGTATGTCTTCTTCAGAGAAGTGTCTTTTCATATCTTCTGCCCACTTTTTGCTTGATTATTTGTTTTTTGGGTGTTGAGTTTGAGAAGTTCTTTATAGATCTTGGATACCAGCCCTTTATCTATAGTGTCATTTGCAAATATCTTCTCCCATTCTGTGGGTTGCCTCTTTGTTTTGTTGACTGCTTCCTTTGCTGTGCAGAAGCTTTTTATCTTGATGAAGTCCCAAAAGTTCATTTTTGCTTTTGTTTCACTAGCTTTTGGAGATGTATCTTGAAAGAAGTTGCTGGGGCCGATGTCAAAGAGGTTACTGCCTATGTTCTCCTCTAGGATTTTAATGGATTCCTGTCTCACATTGAGGTCTTTCATCCACTTTGAGTTTATCTTTGTGAATGGTGTTAGAGAATGGTCGAGTTTCATTCTTCTGCATGTGGCTGTCCAATTTTCCCAGCACCATTTATTGAAGAGACTGTCTTTTTTCCACTGCATGTTTTTTCCTGCTTTGTCAAAGATTATTTGACCATAGAGTTGAGGGTCCATATCTGGGTTCTCTATTCTGTTCCATTGGTCTATATGTCTGTTTTTGTGCCAGTACCATGCTGTCTTGGTGATCACAGCTTTGTAATATAGCTTGAAATCGGGCAACGTGATGCCCCCAGCTTTGTTTTTCTTTTTCAACATTTCCTTGGCGATTCGGGGTCTTTTCTGATTCCATATAAATTTTAGGATTGTTTGTTCCAGCACTTTGAAAAATGTCTTTGGAATTTTGATCGGGATGGCATTGAAGGTATAGATTGCTCTGGGTAGCATAGACATTTTAACAATGTTTATTCTTCTGATCCATGAGCATGGAATATTTTTCCATCTTTTTGTGTCTTCTTCAATTTCTTTCATGAGTGTTTTGTAGTTCCTAGAGTATAGATCCTTTACCTCTTTGGTTAGGTTTATTCCGAGGTATTTTATGATTTTTGGTGCTATTGTAAATGGAATCGTTTCTCTAATTTCTCTTTCTACAGTTGTGTTGTTAGTGTATAAGAAAGCAACTGATTTCTGTGCATTAATTTTGTATCCTGCCACCTTACCGAATTGCTGTATGAGTTCTAGTAATTTGGGGGTGGAGTCTTTTGGGTTTTCCACATAAAGTATCATGTCGTCTGCGAAAAAAGAGTTTGACTTCTTCTTTGCCAATCTGAATACCTTTTATTTCCTTTTGTTGTCTGATTGCTCCTGCTAGGACTTCTAGTACTATGTTGAATGATAGTGGCGAGAGTGGGCATCCTTGACGTGTTCCTGATCTTAAGGGAAAGGCTCTCAGCTTTTCCCCATTGAGGATGATATTCGCTGTGGAGTTTTCATAGATGGAATTTATGAACTTGAGGAATGTTCCCTCTATCCCTATACTCTGAAGAGTTTTAATCAGGAAAGCATGCTGTATTTTGTCAAATGCTTCTTCTGCATCAATTGAGAGGACCATATGGTTCTTCTCCCTCCTCTTATTAATGTGTTCTATCACACTGATTGATTTGCGAATGTTGAATTACTCTTGCATCCAGGGGATAAATCCCACTTGGTCGTGGTAGATGATCCTTTTAATGTATTGTTGGATCCTATTAGCTAGGATTTTGTTGAGGACTTTGGAATCCATATTCATCAGGGATATTGGTCTGAAATGCTGCTTTTTGATGGGGTCTTTGCCTGGTTTGGGGATTAAGGTAATGCTGGCCTCATAGAATGAGTTTGGAAATTTTCCTTCTATTTTTCGAAACAGCTTCAGTAGAATAGGTATTATTTCTTCTTTGAATGTTTGGCAGAATTCCCCAGGGAATCCATCAGGCCTTGGACTCTTGTTTTTTGGGAGGTTTTTGATCACCGCTTCAATCTCGTTACTGGTTATTGGCTTATTCAGGTTGTCGATTTCTTCCTGTTTCAGTCTTGGCAGCTTATAGGTTTCCAGGAAGGCCTCCGTTTCATCCAGATTGCTCAGTTTATTGGCATATAGTTGTTGATAATAATTTCTAATAACTGTTTGTATTTCCTTGGTATTAATTGTGATCTCTCTTTCATTCATAATTTTATTAATTTGGGTCCTTTCTCTTTTCTTTTGGATAAGTCTGGCCAGAGGTTTATCGATCTTATTAATTCTTTCAAAGAACCAACTTCTAGTTTTGTTGATCTGATCTACTGTGTTTCTGGTTTCTAATTCATTGATCTCTGCTTTAATTTTAATTATTTCTCGCCTAATGCATGGCTTAGGCGTCGTTTGTTGCTTTTTCTCTAGTTCTTTAAGGTGTAGAGTTAGTTGGTGAATTTGGAATTTTTCTATTTTTTTGAGTGAGGCTTGGATGGCTATGTATTTCCCCCTTAGGACGGCCTTTGCAGTATCCCATAGGTTTTGGACCGATGTGTTTTCGTTCTCATTGATTTCCATGAATTGTTTAAGTTCTTCTTTGATTTTCTGGTTGACCCAAACATTCTTGAGCAGAGTGGTCTTTAGCTTCCAAGTGTTTGAATTTATGCCAAATTTTATCTTGTGATTGAGTTCCAGTTTTAAAGCATTGTGGTCTGAGAATAGGCAGGGAATAATCTCAATCTTTTGGTATTGGTTGAGACCTGATTTGTGACCCAGTATGTGGTCTATTCTGGAGAAAGTTCCATGTGCGCTCGAGAAGAATGAGTATTCTGTTGTTTTAGGGTGGAATGTTCTGTAAATATCTATGAGGTCCATCTGGTCCAATGTATCATTTAAAGCTCTTGTTTCCTTGTTGATTTTCTGCTTAGATGATCTGTCCATTGCTGAGAGTGGAGTACTGAGGTCTCCTACAATTAACGTATTGTTATCAGTATGACTCTTTATTTTGGTTAACAGTTGGCTTATGTAGATGGCTGCTCCTATGTTGGGGGCATAGATATTTAAAATTGTTAGATCTTCTTTGTTGGATAGACCCTTTAAGAATGATACAATGTCCGGGCGCCTGGGTGGCTCAGTTGGTTGGGCGACTGCCTTCGGCTCAGGTCATGATCCTGGAGTCCCGGGATCGAGTCCCGCATTGGGCTCCCTGCTCGGCGGGGAGTCTGCTTCTCCCTCTCCCGCTCCCCCCCTCTCGTGCTCACTCTCTCTCTCTCAAATACATAAAGTCTTTAAAAAAAAAAAAGAATGATATAATGTCCTTCTGTGTCTCTAATTACAGACTTTAGTTTAAAATCTAATTTGTCTGATATAAGAATTGCTACCCCAGCTTTCTTTTGAGGTCCGCTGGCATGGAAGATGGATCTCCATCCCTTCACTTTCAGTCTGGATGTATCTTTAGGTTCAAAATGAGTCTCTTGTAGGCAGCATATGGATGGGTCCTATCTTTTTATCCAATCTGCAACCCTGTGCCATTTTATGGAAGCATTTAGGCCATTCACGTTGAGAGTGATTATTGAAAGATATGAATTAATTGTCATCATGTTGCCTGTGAAGATGTTGTTTTTATAGATTGTCCCTGTAAATTTCTGTTGTAGATCACTCTTGGGGTCTTTCTCCTTTTATAGAAGCCCCCTTAATATTTCTTGCAGGGCCGGCTTAGTGGTCATATATTCTTTCAGTTTCTGCCAGTCATGGAAGCTCTGCATCTCTCCATCCATTCTAAATGAAAGCCTTGCCGGATAAAGTATTCTTGGCTGCATGTTCTTCTCATTTAGTACCCTGAATATGTCTTGCCAGGCTTTTCTGGCTTGCCAGGTCTCTGTGGATAGGTCTGATGTTATTCTGATGTTCCTCCCTCTGTACGTAAGGAATCTCTTCCCCCTAACTGCCCTTAAGATGGTTTCCTTGGTTCTAAGATTTGCAAGTTTTACTATTACATGCCGGGGTGTTGGTCTGTTTTCTTTGATCTTGGGAGGGGTCCTCTCTGCCTCTAGGACACGAATGTTTGTTTCATTCCCCAGATTAGGGAAGTTCTCAGCTACGATTTGCTCAAATACATCTTCTAGTCCTCTCTCTCTCTCCACTCCCTCTGGGATTCCAATTATTCTGACATTGGAATGCTTCATGGTGTCACTTATTTCTCTGATTCTATTTTCATGGATTCTGAGTTGTTTTTCACTGGCCTCCTCTTTTCCTTTTTTATCTATTATATTGTCTTCTAGGTCGCTTATTCATTCTTCTGCCTCAGTTACCCTAGCTGTTAGATTATCTAGATTGGATTGGATCTCATTGATAGCATTTTTAAGTTCTGCCAATTCAGCTTTCATTTCTGCCCTTAGAGACTCTATGTTGCCATTAATTGATTTCTCCATTCTAGCCATTGTCTTCACAATTGCTAGCCTGAATTCCATCTCCGTCATCTTGGTTATATCTGCATCCATTTGTAAATCTGCAGCATAAGTCATAATCTCTGCGTCTTTTCTATTTTGGGGGCTCCTCCTCCTAGTCAGTCTGTTGATGGGTGTTTGAGGGAATGTATACAGTCCAAATGCTTGACCAGAACCCAAGCAAGATGCACCTGTTTTCTTGGGACCTTAGGATTGCTGGCCTCTTGTTTTCCCAGCCTGTCTTCTGGGGGAGGGGCCTGCCGCGCTGTTACTCAGGCAACCCTGTTTGGGCAGAGTTGCCCTGCGCCCCTGTGGCGGGGGATGGGGTTAGTGGGAATCAGTCTTTGGGGCTTTTGTTCTCTGGCGCCTTTCCCTGGCGTCTTTCCGCGTCTCTTCCGTGAGTCAGAGCAGAAGAGACCGTTTCCAACTCTCTGCCTCAGAGCAGAGAGACCGTAGTCTGTTCTTCAGTGAGCTCTCCAGGCCACACCATCTCCATTTCTGTCCGTGCTGCTATAAACTGCAGCATCCTGGGTTGTGCGCCCCTCCGCCATGCTCCCAGTCCTGCCTCCAGGTCGGGGCACATCTCTGCCCTTTGTGCTTCTAAAACCGCCAGCCGCCCCCAGTTTGCAGGCAAGACCCCGCCGCTCCGGGTTTCTGCCCCGGGGGCTGTCCTAAAGTCCTTTCCCCGCTGCTACTGGTCTGTGAGTCTGTGCCCCGTCCCCAGCGCGCGAGGCTGTCGCTCACCAGTGGTGTAGGATCCCCACGGCCAGGCACCCTCCCGCTGCCGTTTATCCTCTGATATCTGCCCGCGGAATCACTGCTCCCTGCTTCGTACCTTGAAACCAACCACCTGCGATATTCTGTTTATAGAGATCCAGATCTTCTTACATCTCAGGCTGGTTTCATGGGTGCTCAGAGTGGTCTGGTAGATATCCAGCTCAATTCCGGGGACCAGTTGAAATAGGGTCCCCTACTCCTCCACCATCTTTCCTTCCCCCCAGCACTGGGTGTTATGCGCAAACAATGACTCATGGAACACTACATCAAAAACTAATGATGTAATGTATGGTGATTAACATAACATAATAAAATAAAAAAAAACTTTTTCTTTTAATCTAAACCAGAGTAGCTAAAATTCTTGAAATTTTTTTTTTTTTTAAAGATTTTACTTATTTGACAGAGACACAGTGAGAGAGGAACACAAGCAGAGGGAGTGGGAGAGGGAGAAGCAGGCTTCCCGCTGAGCAGGGAGCCCGATGCAGGGCTCGATCCCAGGACCCTGGGACCATGACCTGAGCCGAAGGCAGATGCTTAACGACGGAGCCACCCAGGTGCCCCTTGAAATGGTTTTTTATCACGAGGTCTGTATAGACTTAAAATTGCCAGAGGGGCAAACTTCACAAAGTATAAGCATAAACAAAGGAACCATTATTTTAAAAGGTTTCTGTGGGAAAGCAGGAATCTTTTCTGTAAAATCAGTGAAGAAATTTCATCCATGATTGGCAACCCTTACTGATCATACCTGCATCAGGAAAGCAATTTTGGAATCATCTTCATAATCAGCTTCTGAATAGTAGAGCCGCTGAAGTAAACATTTGTACTTCAAAAATGATTCTCGTTGTCGAGTCTCATTGTCAAGGTAAATACAGTGACGGCACCGGTATATGCGGTGTAAGGTGGATGAGACAGCAAACTCTGTGGAAGGCAAATAGAGCTGGCAACCGTGGCAAAAGTAAATCTTCTTATAAAACTTCAATGGGTCTTGAGGGACCTAAATAGTAAAAAACAAAAAAGTTACAAAAGTCAGGCTAAATACTAATCAACCGAAGCACTGAGGGCTAACTTATCTTAGAATGAGATAAAAAGTTGGTTAATTTTTAAAGTCCTATTTCCCTTAACTTCCTATTCTACACAAAATTTAAATTTCAAGCAGTATTCATTTATCCTGCCAAAATGTTAAGGAATCTGTATTATTTTTAAAAAGAATTTAGATTTTTGGTGTCATGCTATATTAATCTTACAGGCTAGATTCAAATATAAGTAAAAGCCCACTAAACTAAGTGTTTTTCTCATTTCATTTATCTTAACACTAAATTTGGATTGACTCAAAGATCGATATTCAAAACTTGAAACTCTGCATCATATAGTGGTTCTATTTTTAATTTTTTAAGGAACTTCCATACTGTTTTCTGTAATGGCTGTATCAATTTAAATTTCAGAGAACAGAACACAAGGGTTCCCTTTTCTCCCTATCTCTGCCAACACTTGTTATTTCCTGTCTTTTTGATACGAGCCATTCTGACAGGTAGAAGAGGATATCTCATTGTGGTTTTGATTTGCATTTCCCGATGATTAGTGACATGAAGCACTTTTTCATGTACGTGTTGGTCATTTGTATGTCTTCTTTGAGAAAATGTCTATTGAGATCTTTTGCCCATTTTTAAATTGGGTTAAAATTATTTTGCTATCAAGTTGTAGAATTTCCTTTTTTTTTTTTTTTTTGGATATTAACTCATCAGATATATGGTTTGCAAATATTTTTTCCCATTCTGTACGTTGCCTTTCATTTTGTTGATTGTTTCCTCTCTGTGCAGAAGGTTTTCAGTTTGACACATCCCATTTGTCTATTTTTACTTCTGTCACCCTTGCTTTTGTTATCACGACCAAAAAATCATTGCTAAGGTCAATGTCAACAAGATTTTCCCTATATTTCCTTTTAATAGTATTATAGTTTCAGGTCTTATATTTAAATCTTTAACCTATTTTGAGTTGATTTTTGTATGTGGTGTGAGACAAAGGTTGATTTTTTTGCATGTGGCTATCCAGTTTTTTCAACATCATTCAGTAAAGAAACTATCCTTTCCTCACTGTACATTCTTAGCTCCTTTGTGGGTTTGTTTCTGGGCTTTCTATTTTGTGGCACTGATCTATGTGTCTGTTTTTGTGCCAGTATCATACTGTTTGAACTATATAGCTTTGGAATATAGTTTGAAATCAGGAAGCATGATGCCTCCAGCTTTGTTCTTTGTCGAGATTGCTTTGGCTATATGGGATCTTTTGTGGTTCCATACAAATTTTAGGGGTTTTTTTTCTCTTTCTGTGAAAAAGGCCATTGGAATTTTGATAGGGACTGTATGGAATCTATAGACCACTTTGTATAGTATGAACATTTTAACAATAGTAATTCTTTGAAAAAGATTTCTTAACTACAAAATAAATGCCAAAAGCATGATCCATTTTAAAAATGGATAAATTCAACTTCATTGAAATAAAAAGCATCTGCTCTATTAAAGATACTGTTAGGAGAATGAGAAGACAAGCTGCAGACTGAGGGAAAATATTTACAAATCATGTATCTTACAAAGGACTTATATATAAAATATATAAGGAATTCTCAAAACTCAGTAATGAGAAAATAAACACCTCAACTTTAAGAAGGGGGGGTAGTGGCAACAGATATGTGCAGATACTTCAACAAAAAGTTATATAGATGGCAAAAAAAGATGCATGAGAAGATGCTTAATATTATATTCATTAGGAAATCACAGACTAAAATATAATGGAATACTACTATACATTTATTAGAACTCCAAAAGTGAAAACAGAGACTGGCAATACCAGCTGCTGACAAGGATGCAGAACTAGTGGAACTCTCACATTACCGTTGGCGATGAAACAGATGAAACTGGCTTAGGTATAACCAAATAGTCAATTTTACCAAAGGTAAATTTAAAAACTGAATAAAATGGTATGTTATGTGAATGTGTAGAATATTAAAATCTATTACTGCAAATGTATAAAAGCTGAGTTAAGTATGTAGAGGACTAGAAGGTAGCTTGGGCAAATAAAACACTAATTTGAATAAGAAATAATATAATGGGCAATTTTTCTCTTGGAGTTTTGTTATATATTATATATATATATATATTTTAAGATTTTATTTTTAAGTAATCTCTACACCCAATGTGGAGCTCGAACTTACAACCCTGAGATCAAGAGTTGCATGTTCTACAGACTGAGCCAGCCGGGCACCACTGACGTTTTGTTATATTCTCTTGCAATACAATTAAGTTTTAAAAATCCATTAAAGCAGCACCTGGGTGGCTCAGTCAGTTGAGCATCCCACTCTTGGTTTCTGCTCAGGTCCTGATCTCAGGGTCTTAAGATCGAGCCCCACATCAAGCTCTGGGCTCAGTGGGGAGTCTGCTTGGGATTCTCTCTCTCCCTCTCCCTCTACTTCTCCCCCTGCTTGCACATGCTCTCTCTCTAAAAATAAATAAATCTTTAAGAAATAATAAAAATAAAATAAATAAAGATCCATTAAAAAAGAAAATATAAAAATTAATTTTATTTTTCTAAAAGGTTTGACCAAATACTGAGATCTTATATCAAAAAAGCAAAATAGATATTTAGCTGGCTTCTTAATAAATTATAACTTTAAATATAATCACTAGAATAAAACACTATTTAGAATTCTTTAGTAAACCACTCCTTTCCAAACTTTACTAAAAGTGTTTTAAATAGTTTTGGACAGTAAAAAGGCAATAAGATACTTTTCTTGGCTCTAGACAGCAAAATCCTCGTAGAAGCCTAAGCCTGTTGGAGCTGGAAAAGGTAGTTTAATTCAAATACATGTTACATTTGAAGTTCTCTGAGGATATCTACACAGATCTGTTCAGTAATAACTATGACTAAGCAATAAGTCTTACAAGGAAACACAAACAAAGCACATGTAAAATCTCAGAAATGAAAAGTTTAACTCTCTCTGAGGCCTCATGAAGGAGGGGACCCATGAATTAAATGTCAGAAAATGAACAAGAGTTAGCTGAGTGGAGTAGGGGACAGCATTCCAGGTGGAAGTAACAGTATGTTCGAAAGCATGACAGGGTGAGAGGTCAGGATTGCACTGTGCAATATTCAGTTTGGTTCAGAGAGGAGGGAAGAATTCAAACTTAAAAATACAGACACAGAATAAGTTAAATGACTAAGTTTAATATATTGACATAAAAAACAATCATTCAAAAGAGATTTCACCAACAAGATGGTCTTCCACATGGACCCCAAGTAAAGCATTAAAGCAAAATTTGAATGTACTTCAATTTACTATAGCATCTCTCAGAATCCTGAGAAAGGAATACAGGAAAAAAAGTAGAGTACCTTAAGATGTCTTGCAACTTCTGGATTAAATAGAGGTGTTTTGATATAATGAGAAAAGAGTGTTGCAATTCTTTTTCTGAGTCCTTCAAGATTATGATGTTTGACTCCTCTCATCATAAGGTCCACCTCTCTGTCAATCAGTTCTAGAATTTCCTGAGTCAGTTTACATTCATGTTCCTATACAAAACAAACATATTCAGTATAGAATTTTTAAAGTCACTAATTTAATTTTCAAAATTACCACCAAACAAACTGAAAACTATATTCCAAAAGAAAGAAATTCCAAAAGAAACTGGTAGGAATGTACCAACAACTAATCTGGAAAAAAAACTTGACATTATCTAGGAGAGCTTCAGATATGTGTAATCTACAATCCACCAGTTCCACTCTTTAGAGTGCTTTAGAGAAATGTGCATATAGAATCATTGTTCACAAAAGTTCAAAATTAGAAACAACCAAATATCCACAAATAAATTGATGACATAAATAAGTGATGGCTTATTCATACAATACATATACTGATAGAATATCAAATGTATGGAAATGAGTAAACTACAGCTATATACAATAACAAGCTTAAATCTTACAAATTAATGTTGTTGAGCAAAAGCAGCAAGGCACAAGATAATACTGTATCATTCCATTTAAATAAAATCTAAAAATAAGCAACACTAAACCATATTATTTAAAGACATATATATAGATATAAGTATATATCTATAGAGAGAGAGAGAGAGAGAGAGAGATACATACATACACATAAGTAGCAAAACTATAAAGAAAATCAAGGAAATGACTGCTATGAAAGTCAATATTCTAGGGGATGAGAGGGTGAACTGGGATTATAAAGAGAAAGGGGGATACTCACAATGTTGGCAATGTCCTGTTCTGGGGTCAGAGAAGGTTACATGGTTGGTGACTTCATATTTGTTAAATTGTGTGTGTGTGTGTGTATGTGTATAAAATACATTTTTTCTGCAAATTTGTATAATTCACAATTTTTTAATAAAGTCACAGAAATGAGTGTGGTTGAATAAGAAAGCCCCAAGTAGAAGTTAAGTGATTAAGGTAGGATTTATGAGTAGTAAAATAGAAGTAAGTTGATCCAATTGCTCAAGAGAGGATTAAAAGAAACACAGTTTGAATGAAGGAGTCAGAACGTGAAGGCAGTGTGACTGTAAAATAATGTTCTCCTGTACTTTTTAATACATACTTGGTAAAGCTAACTCAAGAGTCTATATCTGGGGCCCTTGACCCTGAAGGCATATTAGAATGACCTGGGGAAGATTTTTAAAGGTTTTAAGATTGCCCTCATACTTGAGGATCTAATTTAACTTCTCTGAAATGGGGCCTAGATACCATCCCTTATTCATTTATTCTCATATTCTCTCTCTCTGTCTCTGTCTCTGTGAATCTTGCTCTCTCTTTCAAGCTCTCCAGATGATTCTAATGTGTACTCAGGTTTAAGAGTCCCTGGTCTCTCTTAGTAATTGTCATCAAAGTAATACCTATTATTCATTGAGGGCTCCCTATTTGTAAGCACTGAGATATATAGATTATATTTATTTATATTTTATAAATAGATATATATGTACATATATACACACATATTTATAACCTCCAAGCAACTAATTTTACAAATGATGAAATTGATTTTCAGAAATGTTAAATAACTTATCTAAGATTATACAGCCTAATGAATAGATCCAGAATTTGAGTCATGCTTAAAGGCTTTAATCCTCCATCAAAATATTGTTAAATAAATGTACATGTAGATATATTAGGTTAAACACATTGTTTAAGATATGCACAATTTATTTTTTAAGTCTATCCTTTGTTTTTGTTTTCTATTATTATTATTGTTATTAACAAGCTTATGTTCCTAAAAATGTCAGTTAGGAGGATTTCTACTGTATTCCCTACCTGCACTCTTTTTTCCAATCTGGCTTTTTTAATGCCCACCATGCATATCATGTTCATTTCCAACCTCTGGACCTCCTGCTTCTCTCTTTCTTCCTATCTCTATCTTCCAATGTTAGTCACTACACAAACATCTTTAAAAAGGTAATCCAGAACAAAGACAGTCAATGCCTAATCAAGTCAATGCCTCTGTTCTCAAGATGAGGAGAAATGGGGGGGCCTGGGTGGCTCAATGGGTTCAGTGTCTGCCTTCAGCTCAAGTCATGATCCCCAGGTCCTGGGATGGAGCCCCACACTGGGGAGTCAGCTTCTCCCTCTCCCTCTGCTGCTTCCCTCCACTCCTGCTCTCTCTCTCAAATAAATAAATAAAATCTTAAAAAAAAAAAAAAAGAAGGGAAGAAATACAAGAGATCTATGGAGACTTACCTCCCAAGAAGAACGATTTACTCAACTAAAGTGTCTTAAATCAATAAATAAAGAGAAAAAAAATTAAAATACTCCAATGCTGCTTTAAAACTGCTAAAAATAAAATTTTCACTGGAAAGTGTCAAAATACATAGACAATTGCTGCTTTACTGAACTGAGTGGAGTATTAATTCCATGCTATATATTTGTATCCATTGCATAGATATGGGTATATTTATGTTTAGAATATTCATTGTGCTACATTTATATTTATTATGTATCATAATGTATAGTTTGAGAACTTTTAGATAAATATTAATGCATAAGCCACATCCTCCCCAAATTATACCAAAACAGTAGAGCTGTTGACAAAATAAATTCATATATATAAACATTGATTAATCATCTTTATAATTAATACAAAACAGTTTATTTTAGTATTCATTTTTTTAATTGATAGTGATACCTCAAAACTAAGAGAAAGTTAATATACCTTCACAGTATGTTTAAGAGTTAGGAGTACATCCAGCCTTTCATCTTGAGAGATATTTTTCAGCATAATGCATTTATAGATGTTCTGCAGCTCTCTGGCTCTGATGGTGAACTGTGTATCCATCTCAATTATTTTGCCACTAAATGTTCTCCATACCTTTGGAGCTGAACACTTAAAAATAATATAAGTTTATAATTATCAGTTAATTAAAGGTTAAAAAATAATTTTGTTACTTCTACTAAAAGCTACCTTAGTATCATGTGCTTTATGAATAAAAGTATCACTAAAACTTGAGGAAATTAATTGAAGAATTTGTAGACCATGGGAAAGTAAAACATTCTAGGAAAAAAGATATAAAAGAGCTATTTAGTCTGTGGAAGTGCAAACATTTCTACAGGATTCAGAATTTGCTACTAGTTTGTACTAATTCTTATGTTGAATGGCTTAATGGGTATATGGAATAACTCATTGCCCTTTGGGAAAGGCATGTTATTTGGAATGTTTAAAAAAAAAGGATCTGCTTGGTTCAGTTACAATTTATAGAAATGTGTCTTGATCATGCTTTGCCAATTGAAGACAACTTTTGCGGAGCAATTGTTACAATCCTCAATGCATTAGACCTACAGATACTGCAAAATGGGACTCTGTGAGTTATGGTTTTGTTTCCAATAAACGTTAAGTCTATAACAAGTTCACAGTTCCTCACAAAGCAGGTGTCGATAGTCAAACTGCTATATTTAGCTATCTTAGCAGTGCTGTGGTCCCTGCCTCCTGATGATGGCTAATATTCTCACTCCCTATTTCCAGATCTATTCCAGATTTATTTATTTGGCAGAGAGACACAGAGAGGGAACACAAGCAGGAGGAGCCGCAGAGGGAGAAGCAGGCTTCCTGAGGAGCAGGGAGCCCGATGCGGCACTCGATCCCAGGACCCTGGGATCATGACCTGAGCCGAAGGCAGACGCTTAACCGACTGAGCCACCCAGGTGTCCCCTTACTAAGACTTTAAGAAAAGATGCATTCACCTAGAAATTTCACTGTGAAAACTCACTATTTTCTCTTCTTCTTTATGGTATAAAGCTGCTCAATTTCTTTCCCTGATTTTAATCTATCAGAAACAAGGCTATTTTGATCACGACTATTAACTGTCCAAATGCTGGATTTTTTATAGGCTGAATGGTAATTGCTTTGGAGACCTGCAGTCCAATTTATGCCATACTTGCAGCCATTTAAATCTTAGATTTTATATAATTTAAAGTTTAAATAGAAGCCCATGTATGGGAACAAATCATCAGGAATGCAGACTAGCCAAACAAAGAAATAATATAAGGCTGTATTTAAAATGACAGTTATCATGAGGAATTTTTAGTTGCAGCCTTAAATTACTTTTAAAATTTTTTACATTTCATATTAGCTAAATTACATTGAAAACTGAAAAGTACCATCTAAAAACAACTATATTTGATATGTTTTCAAAGTAATGGCAGCATTTTCTAATCAAAGGCAAAATAAGTGCAGTTCAGAGCTACAAATTTTCATCAGAAACTTTAGATTCTCAGTTCTAGTTTTAATTCAGCAAATGAGAGGCTGCAACCCTATAATTAACGTATATTTTTAAGGCGTAAATCTAATATTAAACAATGTACTGCTACTTAGCACACTGATAGAATTAACTAAAATTTATTAAGGATTATAAAAGGGAAATAGCTCAACAAGAAAGTATCTTGTAGAGGGGCCTGGGTGGCTCAGTCAGCTAAGCGTCCTTCTTCAGCTCAGGTCATGATCCTGGGGTTCTTGGATCAAGCCCCTTGAGACCCTCGTCAGCATGGAGTCTGCTTCTCCCTCTCCCTCTGCCACGCCCCCTGCTCATGTGCTCTCTCTCTCTGTCGCGATCTCTCTAACTAAATAAATAAAATTTTAAAAAAAAGAAAATATTTTGTCACTTATTATCACTTAGAATAAGTAATAAATAAATATATATGTATTATATATTTTTATATATACTATATATATATCTATATATATATTGTTTTAAATAGATACAGCCTTCCTTGGAGTAGGCCTCAGAGTGTTACTAAAGTTTAATGTTTGTTTCAAAGCTCCTTTTAAAAGTTTTAAGGAATAAGCAATCTTAGGCTAAGTTTCATATTGTGATATTTTAAAGTCTAACTGATATCTTAATCTTTCCACAAATTTTCTTCAGGGTGGTTCTACTAAATGCAATTTCCTTTCTTCCAGTAATGTGGACAGTACCTTTTGCTCTGCAGGCGGTAACTTACTTCATTTGTAATAATCCAAGTATAATTACCTTTTAAAGGAAATGCCTAGTTCATCTACTAAATTGTATTTTAGCTGATAGACTGATTTAACTCCACCTCCCCTTCAAGTTTTTAGCCCCATATAATATAGTATGATGTGGTAATATCTTGGATTTTTTCCAAATATACTCAACATCCAAAACCTTCCCACCCTCCAATTTTTAACTCAAACCCTACCTTTCCATAAAAATTCTTAACTACTATGTTTTGAACCAATGAAATTGCTAGTATCCGAAGTGCTATTGTACTTGTAAACACACACACACACACACACACACAAACACACACAAGTATGCAGCATCTCTATTTCAAATCACTCAGGGCAATGAAATTTAAATCCAAATTGTTCTAGAGTTATCTTGTTTGTTAATTTTATTTCTCCCGAAAGATTATAAGAAATAAACTTCTCATGTAGTTCTGTATATCTGATAGGGCCTACCATAGTCATTCATTCATTCAACAAACATTTGTTGTGTTTACTATATATTAGTCAGTGTACTAGGCAGAGTAAATAAAATACTATACTGATTTCAAGAACTCTCAAATCTAATAATATGTAAAGATAAGAAAAGAAATAATTAAAATAAAGGGTAATTATGCTTGATGATTGCAGGTAAATAGGTAAGTAACCACAGGTTGCTATGAAGCAATTACTTGGTGAAAAGAAAATCGTGTCTAGGATAAAACCTGAAAAATAACCAGGAATTAGCCAGAATAAAGGGAACTGTGCGATATAATCAAAGAAGTCTAGATGTGAAGCTTGACTTTCCCCAGTTAGCACTAAAAGATATAAAAAAATTCTGTTTCACAAAGCTGTTTTTATACATGGATGTATTTCTGCCAACACTGATAACCTGATCTTCATTCAGTTCTAAGCTTCTTTGATTTCAGGCCTTAAGGTATTTTTTTTTTAATCTGACACAGGAACATGCGTCAACTTTACTTATTTCTCTTTCCTCTTTCCTTTTTTCTTTGAAAGCTTTGGCTGTAATAAGAGATGTACAACAATCATGGTCTTAAATTGCTTCAGAAGACAGGAGTGTAATAAATTCCATCAAGCTGCCAACAACTGAGCCGGGGCAGACTCCGGAGGAGAGAAACAGAAGAGCAGCAGGAAGACGTTTCAAGGAAGGGAAGGTGGAGGGTAACAAAGCCCCCGAGAGCAGCAGGCTTCCACGGAAGAGAAGACATGACCGCCCTGTGAAAGGAGCGCTCTATTCCTCCTAAACTCATACTCAGGTCCCCAAGGGCACGAATTAAGAAGCCTGGCCCCCCAAAAGCTACTGCGTAGTGATCAACTTCTTTTACACAGCAAAGGGGTTTTGTTCGTACACAGAGAACACCCCTGTAAACCGCGGTGCTCAGAGAGAAGCAAAAATCCATTGTATTTTTCCATCCCACTAGCTGTTGGCCACCAGAGTTCAGGAGGGAGAAAAAACATTCAAATAACAGAGCTCACAAGGACTGCGGTTTTGTAGCTTGTGACTGTGAGAAGTGGTATGGGAATCAAAGAAATAAACGGCCTTGACTCTAGAGGAAATGTCTTGCAGAAATTCAAATTGTCTCTTTAACACAGTTTGGGTGAAGAGAACCCAAGATACATTAGAAACTGGCTGATGGTTTTTTATTCGAATTTCTTGGCCTGCCTTTTTTTCATCTCTGTCAGCTTGTGAGTTTTTAACATTTGATAACCTGCCGCCGAGGTCAATGTTTGATGGTTAAAATGACAAATTATTTAACTTCTATGGAGAATGAAGACTTAATATGAATCCATAATAGCTGATTAGTTTAATGCCTTGACTGGACTAATTGGAAATCCTATCATTCATTACTCAGAGAAATTCTATGTTCAGGATAAGATTAAAAATAAAATATTAGTTCAGTAAACCACATAATATTTAGATACAATGAAGTTAAGCTAAAACCAAACATAAAATTTATTCTCCAAAGTTATTTCCAAATTATAGGAAAATAAATATTTTCTTTATATATCTATATGTTATGGTGCTAAGTGTGGATCTTAAAGTCTGCATTATGGCTCTGGTTGTTAGTTTTGACATTTGAAAAAACTCTGACCTTGTCTAGCTTCAGGGATTAAGTATAAGCTACCTTTTCTTAATAATAAAAAACAAAAACTAACTGTAGGATAATAAGTTACTTCAAGTTTTATGAAATCAGCACTGTCTCCTCCTGAATATTAGAGACAATGCTAGGTATGGGGTAGGGGAGAGGTAGACAGGCCTAAAGAGGAATAGATATTGTAGAAGTATTTCCAAGGAAAGACTATAAAATCTATCTCTATTGTTTTCTATGATGTTTAGTATAGCATCCTATACAAAAAGTTTATTTAAATGAATTTAAATAGAATAACGAAGATTTTATAATTTACTGTAACAGGTTAAAAGTAGGCCAAAGTCACTGTTAGTCAATATTTTTAACGACTAGACTAATTAAGCTATGTAATGGATTAGGATCAATTTCAAGTGTAGCAGTTCCAACCTGTGGATGTGTTCTCCCTGCCTTATACAACATTTTGGTCAAAACGGAGGTAAAATTCCCTTGTATCAGCTAAAATGTCCATTTCCTCTAAATCTTAGCCTAAGGACTGGTGAGATTAACTGTATAAGCATTAACAAGAAGAATTTAAAATAGTTTATAGGACGGGTGCCTGGGTGGCTGTCGTTAAGCATCTGCCTTCGGCTCAGGTCATGATCCTAGGGTCCTGGGATTGAGACCCACATTGGGCTCCCTGCTCCGCAGGAAGCCTGCTTCTCCCTCTGCGGCTCCCCCTGCTTGTGTTCCCTCTCTTGCTGTGTCTCTCTCTGTCAAATAAATGAATAAAATTTTAATAAATAAATAAATAAATAAAATAGTTTATAGGAAACAAAGCATCAGAGAAAGCCTAAGTAGGAATTCCTGTAGACATTCCAGCCTCAAATAAGGAAGGGTAGGTGTCACTTGTCTTCCCTGTCCACTGTACCTCAGAGGCCCCCAGCTCCTTCAAACATTCTGGATCTCTGCTGCCCTAAGTCCATGCTGTCCTCATTGGTAAGGTTAACAGTCAGACACATAAGGAACACAGTTCCTGGTGGTGAAGCCGGATTCAAGATAAAGAAACTTGCTAAAGGAATAAGTTTAGTTTGAAATATGACTCTGGAAAAGTATGCATATTATGTTTCCATCTTTCCTAGAATGAAGATGTTCAAGAACCTGAAATGGCAAATCTACATTGCATAATTTCTTGATAATACCTGAAATATGAAATTACACAACAATTACTTCTGTTCCTTAGTTTTCCTCCCTGCCTTCCTCCACAAGCATTTAGTAATACTCAATGATAAGCACTGTGCTGGATATGAGGATACAGAGATAAAAGCTCCTGCTTAAGAAACTCAGTATCTAGGAATGACTCAGACATGTAAATAGATATAATAAAAACTGACCATTATGTACTAAAACAGAAGTGAAACAGGGTCTCATGAAAGTGTATAGTGCAGGCTAGAGTAGGACGATCAGCAGACCCCTTCAAGAAGAAGGGGCATCTGAGCTTGTTTTGTAGGGTGCGTAGCTAGCTACTAAGGAAGGAGGGAAAGGATGTTCCATGTAGAGGCAACACTGGATGCAAAAGCATGGACAGCACACGGTCTTTCTGAGGACGTGCAGGTAATTGAGCATAGCTGGAGCAGTGTGGCCACAGTGTGCAAGGAGAGATGACACTGAGACAAGAGGACAGGTGAGGTGTGCTGGCAATCGATTATGGAAATCCTTCCTCCCTGAGGACAACAAGGAGGGGCAGGAGCAGAGCTGTGTTTAGTGAGGTCACTATGGCAGCGTAGGGATGACAGGAGGGTACTGTGAAGGGAGACTGGAGGCTGAGAGCCTAATTTGGAGACATAAAGTAATCCAAATGAGAAGGAAATCCACATTCAACTGAATCACTGTCAAGCTCACACACACAAGACCTGTCTCATGACAGTCTCTGAGGGAACATAGGGAAGCAAAAGAAAGGACCCGCTCCATAGCATCTCTTCAAAAGCCTCCCATCCTTTCATTTTCCAGCAGGATCACAAGGCATTCCTTATGAATGAACCTTATGAACCACAGATTAGCTGTGGTTCAAGTCTTTGCCTACTGGCCTGTTTGGGTACATGCAAGGTCATCAGGGGGCCATGGCAGAGCCATTTCCCCATACGCAGCAGTAGTGGCTTAGGAGGAAATAAAGGATTGAGAAGATTATTAAAGTAATAGAACAAACTGGTCAGTGGTTGGATGGGATGTCAAGAATAATGCCCAGGTGTCTGCCTGAAATAAATAGATGATGAAACATTCATGAAGATAAATTATGTGAGTGCTACAAAACAGGATCAGTTTGGAGATGAGGGGCCAGGGAATGGTGAGATGATTTAATTTCAGTGTTGACATGTCAACTTAAGGTGTACTCTTGGGACACCCACAGAGCAATAACAATAGGCAACTGGATATGTGATTTGGAAGCTCCTACGAGAGGTCTGGTCTGGACCTGCAGGGAGTTCCAGGCTGTAGGTAGTAAAAGCCACAAGAAAAATTGAGATCAAACAGGAGAGTATATTAGTAAAATGAGAAGAGGGCATTTGTAGTATCAAAAAAACATGGCTTTTAAGAATGAATGTTCTTAAATAACAAGAACCTTACGACTAGAGTCACTATAGGCAAAGATCTTGAAGAACACTATCCCTTTTCTTCTTGTGTCTGGATTGGCTTTTAATTGTCTGGAAAGATCAGGATTACAAAAGGAGATTGGTCACTATGGAAACAGGCTATGCAATCAATATCAAACAGGCAGTTTCAACACAAAAAGATAATTAGTTTTTCCCTTAATTGTATGTTTTCATGGTTTTCAATAATCATATATGCTTTTGATCAGAAAGTTCTAGTCAGTTAATGACCTGGTGAGCAAAAGCAAAAACACTAGTCTATAGCTCTTTTCCCTGGGTTGCTTTCTATGAGGCATCCTAAACCCAGACATTTTGTGACTTCAATAACTCTCCATTTCATCAGGGTGTGCAATTCATCTAACTTCCACAGCCAGCCTAAAGCTAAATGAACAGTCAGAAGGAAGGTATCTTTATTTTTTCCTTCATGGCCAAAACTTTTTAGTTAAGGGCACATATTGAATGGAGCACTGGGTGTTATACGCAAACAATGAATCATGGAACACTACATCAAAAACTAATGATGTAATGTATGGTGATTAACATAAGATAATAAAATAAAATTTAAAATATATATATACCTAAAAAAAAAGAACATATTAATTTCATGTTAATTGTCAACTGTTAGTCTAAGCCACAGTTAAAAGTCTAAAACTGTGGGCGCCTGGGTGGCTCAGTTGATTAAGCGACTGCCTTCGGCTCAGGTCATGATCCTGGAGTCCCGGGATCGAGTCCCGCATCGGGCTCCCTGCTCGGCAGGGAGTCTGCTTCTCCCTCTGAACCTCTCCCCTCTCATGTGCTCTCTCTCATTCTCTCTCTCTCAAATAAATAAATAAAATCTTTAAAAAAAAAAAGTCTAAAACTGTATCAGAAAAAAGAAAAACACACACACAAAATTTAAACATGCAAATTCATACAATGTAAGTCTCTTCTTTAGTTCATTATTCTACATAAACTCAGGATACATTCTTACTTAAATAATTGTTACTTTACTAACCTTATCCAAAAAAGCTTGTATCAATGCTTCCCGGTTTGCTATATATGCGATGTATCTATGCCTCCCAATGGAAGCAATTATCTGGGTCTCTTTTTCCAGAAGTTCACACAAAGCAGCTTTCCTTTCAGCTCCAGTGAAAGACTGGTTAATGCGTGCAAATTCTTCTTGCTTCCAGACTAGAGGAATAACATGAATCACTCTTGAGTTTTTAAAATCCCACACCTTTTCAGAAAATTGTTTACCATCATATCCTGACAAACAGTATTTTATGTCACTTTAAATAAAATTATACACGAATATAAGCATTCATACTGTACACCTGATGTATGAAAAAATAGGATAAAATGGAAGCTGAGAAACTTAAAGCAATAAAATTAGAGTCAAACAAAGAGAAGCCAAAGGAAATCAGCTCAGGTAATGTCAAATTATGCATCCAAGTAAGCACGTGCTCTCCCCAGGATTGAAAAATATATGGTTTGGGTTTGTAGCAGCCACGAACACGTACTATTTAGACCCCCCTTCAAGAGAATACCTGCTTTTGCTACTTAAGCAAAATAAGGCAGTCAGAGAAAGACAAATACCATATGATCTCACTCATATGTGGAATTTAAGAAACAAAACAAATGAATAAAGGGAGGGAAAAAAAGCGGGGGGGGGGGGGGTGGCGGCAAACCAAGAAACAGACTCTAGAGAACAAACTGATAGTTACCAGAGAGGAGGTGTGTGGGAGGAGAGGGAAACAGGTGATGGGGATTATACACTTATTGCTGGCTCATTTGGTGGAGGCTGCAACTCTTGATCTTGGGGTTGTGAGTTTGAGTCCCACCTTGGGTGTAGGGCTTACTCAAAAAAAAAAAAAAAAGAAAGAAAAAGGAGTACACTTATGATGAAAAAAATAAAACAAAATGATAAAAAAAAAAAGAATAACTTCCCTCAGGAAGATACCCCCCCAAAAGAAGATACACAGAGGGTAACATGTTATTTCCTTCCCGTGTGTGTGTGTGTGTGTGTATACATAAATGTGGTTAATATTTTGATATATATGTATTTCCCATATATATATAAATGTGTTAACTATTTTGATATATGTGAAAATACCTATCACTGAATTGATTTTTACCTTTCCAGCTAAATTACCCTGTCAGATGACTCAAAGTTCTTAGTTTTAAAAATAATGATTACTGTTTTTTTTAAAGATTTATTTTAGGGGCACCTGGGTGGCTCAGTTGGTTGAGCAGCTGATTCTTGATTTTGGCTCAGGTCATGATCTCAGGGTCCTGGGATCAAGCCCCACGAGGGGCTCTGTGCTCAGCCAGGAGTCTGCTTGAGATTCTCTCTCTCCCTCTGCCCTCGCCCTCCCTGCTGCCCCCCACCCCCCCGCTCATGCTCTCTCTCTAATAGTTGTTTCTGGTCTTCTTCTGTTGTAACCACTGCCTTTGATGATATCTAGTTTTAAAGTTTTATCAGACTCTTTCTTCTTCCTCTCAACTTTCAATTTGAAATCATCCTGATCAGGCCAAGGACATGCCAGTGATATTTTTATAAGAATCCACTCTGTCCCTTACTGGGAATACACTATTCAGACACTGCACAGCTTCGTCTGTTCAAAAAGAAGATTTTTAAATTTAAAAGCTAAATTGTCTTCAGCAAAAGGGTTGTAAATTTAAGGGCTAAATTATGTTATGAAAGTCCAGGAAATCTATGATTGATGAGTTTATCCTTTAAGAGTAGTTCTCCCGGCAAGATGGCGGAGGAGTAGGAGACCTGGATTTCGTCCCCTCTCAGGAATTCAGCTGGATAGGGATCAAACCATTCTGAACACCTACAAACTCAACAGGAGATCGAAGAAAAGAAGAGCAACAACTGTCTCAGCAGAAAAGCGACCACTTTCTGGAAGGTAGGACGTGCGGAGAAGTGAATCCGAGGCGATATTCGGGAGGATAGACGGCGGGGGAGGGGCCTCCGTCGGCCGCTTCCGGCAAGTGATAGAGCCGCGGAGCACAAAATCGGAACTTTTAAAAGTCTGCTCCGCCGAGGGACGTCACTCTGGTGGCTAAGCGGGGGGTGGAACCCTCCGGGACAGTGTGGTCTCAGGACCCTCGGGGTCACAGAAAGACCGGGGGTGCCTGAGTGCGACAGAGCTCCCAGGTAACGGAGCAGGGAAGCCGGCTGCAGAGGCGGAGCCCAGGCGCGGGCTCTCAGCTCGGGGTGGCCATAAACCGTGATCCGCGGAACAGTCGGGCCCCTGCTCCTCCAGCAGGGACCCAACAAGCGGCAGATCGGGGAGACTCACCTTCCTCCCCCGGGAGGAGCCGCGCGGGAGTGCACCGCAGGAATCTGCTGGGTTTGAAGACTCCACCCGGGGTCGGGTGCCAGAGATAGAAATGCGGTCACAGGCCGGGTAAGCACGGCGTGCGGCCGGAGACCGGGGAGACGGGAGTGACTGACGGCTTTTCTCTGGGGGCTCACTGAGAAGCGGGGCCCCGAGTTCTCGGCTCCTCCGGGGCGAAGATTGGGAGGCCGCCATTTTCACTCTCCGCCTCCAAAGCTGTACGGAAAGCTCGCAGAGAACAGAAGCCCCGGAGAGCAAACCCGAGCAGATTACTTAGCAGGGAGGGGGCAAGGGCGGGGCAATTCCGCCTCCGGCAGAGACATTTGGAAACCACGGCAACAGGCCCCTCCCCAGAAGATCAGCGAGAACAGCCAGCCAAGACCAAGTTTACCGATCAATGAGAACGGCAGAACTCCAGAGCTAGGGGAATACCGCACATAGAATTCATGGCTTTTTTACCATGGTTCTTTAGTCTTTCAAAGTTAATTTTTTTTTAACTGTCTTTTTTTTTTTTTTGAATTTTTCTTTTTCCCTTTTTCAACCAACATCTTATCAATCCCTTTTTTTAAAAAAAAAATTTTATTTTTCATTTTTAGAGTCATATGCTATCCCTTCATAGTAGTTACCCATATTTTTGGCTTATATATATAAGTTGTTCTCTCTTTAAAATTTTGAGATAGTTTCTTCTAACAGATTAAAATATACCCTAAATCTCTAGTATATGGTGTTTTCTATTCCCCTGCCTGATCACATTCTCTCCCTTTTTTTTTCTTTTTTTAAATCCTCTTCTTTCTTTTTTCAAACAACTTCGTATCAATTCCTTTTATAAAATTTTTTATAATTTCCATCTTTACAGTCATATTCCATCCCTTCATCATATCAACCCTTATTTTTGTACATATATAAGTTTTTCTTTCTTTAAAATTTTGGGAGGCACTTTCTTCTAAAAGACCAAAATACACCCCAAATCTAGTGTGTGGCACTGATCTATATACCAGCCTCATCATATTTGATCACATTCTGGTTTTTTGTTGTTGTTGTTGTTGTTGTTGTTTTGTTTTGTTTGATTTGTTTTTATCTTTATCTTTTTCTTTTTCCTTTTTTTCTTTTTTCTCTCTTTCCATTTCTTTTCCCACTGCTTCAGGTCTTTTCTGATTTATTTAGAGTATATTTTCTGGGGACGTTGTTACTCTGCTAGCATTTTGTTCTCTCATTAATCTATTCTCCTCTGCACAAAATGACAAGACGGAAAAAATCACCTCAACAAAAAGAACAAGAGGTAGTACCGACTGCCAGGGACCTACTCAATACGGACATTAGTATGATGTCAGATCTAGAGTTCAGAATCATCACTTTAAAGATACTAGCTGGGCTTGAAAAAAATATGGAAGTTATTAGAGAAACCCTTTCTGGAGAAGTAAAAGAACTAAAATCCAACCAAGTAGAAGTCAAAAAGGCCATTAATGAGGTGCAATCAAAAATGGGGGCGCTAACTGCTAGAATAAATGAGGCAGAAGAGAGAATCAGTAATATAGAAGATGAAATGATGGAAAATAAAGAAGCTGAGAAAAAGAGAGATAAACAACTACTGGATCACGAGGGCAGAATTTGAGAGATAAGCGATACCATAAGACGAAACAACATTAGAATAATTGGGATCCCAGAAGAAGAAGAAGAGAGAGAGGGGCAGAAGGTATAATGGAGCAAATTATAGCAGAGAACTTCCCTAATTTGGGGAAGGAAACAGGCATGAAAATCCAGGAAGCACAGAGAACCCCTCTCAAAATCAATAAAAATAGGTCAACACCCCAACATCTAATAGTAAAACTTATGAGTCTCATAGACAAAGAGAAAATCCTGAAAGCAGCTCGGGAGAAGAGATATGTAACCTACAAGGGTAGAAACATTAGATTGGCAACAGACCTATCCACAGAGACCTGGCAGGCCAGAAAGGACTGGCAGGATATATTCAGAGCACTAAATGAGAAAAATATGCAGCCAAGAATACTCTATCCAGCTAGGCTGTCATTGAAAATTGAAGGAGAGATAAAAAGCTTCCAGGACAAACAAAAACTAAAGGAATATGCAAACACAAAACCAGCCCTACAGGAAATCTTGAAAGGGGTCCTCTAAGCAAAGAGAGAGCCTAAAAGCAACACAGACCAGAAAGGAACACAGACAATGTACGGTAACAGTCACCTTACAGGCAATACAATGGCACGAAATTCCTATCTTTCAATAGTTACCCTGAATGTAAATGGGCTCAATGCCCCAATCAAAAGACACAGGCTATCAGACTGGATTAAAAAACAAGACCCATCGATATGCTGTCTGCAAGAGACTCATTTTAGAACCAAAGACACCCCCAGATTGAAAGTGAGGGGGTGGAAAACCATTTACCATGCTAATGGACACCAAAAGAAAGCTGGGGTGGCAATCCTTATATCAGACAAATTAGATTTTAAACCAAAGACTGTAATAAGAGATGAGGAAGGACATTATATCCTACTTAAAGGATCTATCCAACAAGAAGATCTAACAATTGTAAATATCTATGCCCCTAACATGGGAGCAGCCACTTATATAAGGCAATTAATAACAAAAGCAAAGAAACACATCGACAACAATACAATAATAGTGGGGGACTTTAACACCCCCCTCACTGAAATGGACAGATCGTCTAAGCAAAAGATCAACAAGGAAATAAAGACTTTAAACGACACACTGGACCAAATGGACTTCACAGACATATTCAGAACATTCCACCCCAAAGCAACGGAATACACATTCTTCTCTAGTGCCCATGGAACATTCTCCAGAATAGATCACATCCTAGGTCATAAA